TATATATATGTGTGTGTGTGTGTGTGTGTATATATATATATATATATGTGTGTGTGTGTATATATATATATATATATGTATACATATGTATATATATATGTATGTATGTAAAGTCCTTTGGAGTCAAGCATTCTGACAGACATCCATTTCCTTACATTTTGCATTGCAATTCTGTGTTCCAACTCAGGCAAGCCCCCACTATTGTACTTCAAAACTATTTCTTGAATAGTTTACTCATACATCCTTGTGCAAAATGGGAATCAGGAAATGGTATGGTACAGGAAGACAATACAGCCTTTTGTTTAGAAAGTCAGCAGTGCTGGTAATCTTCATAAAAATGTTAAGGTTTACCAAATAGGAATGTATTTAATCTTTAAAACACTTGGCTTTTTTTCCCCCCCCTTTCATTTATTTTAAAAAAGGACACCTGCAGTAGTAAGGAAACTGAATTTGCAATCACTTGTATTTATAAAAGTACACACATTCCTCATTTTCTTACATTTAAAGATCAAAGGAATGTCTGTTTCATAATGTAGTAATAATATGCACAGTTTAAAATATTTTCTATTACAAAATACAGTATACAAGAGGGTGAGGCCAAAGTCTATTATTGGAATATACTCCAAAGTGTTAGCACTGAATCATGTAAAAAAAAAAAAAAAAAAAAAAAAAAATCACATTACATGGTAGGAATAGATGGGAATTTTTACAACTTAAATGCTCTATTTCAGGGGTATACTGTTTACTATTTTCAAGAGACTTCAGTAAAACTAGTGTATTTCCAAAGAAGCTTTAAAAGATTTAAACACAAGCATAGATCACACCAGAACCTAGAACCCACTGCAGTAACTGGGGCTACAGAAAGGATTCAAGAACTAACAAGTATGTAACACAAACAGAATGAGATGGTTTATCATATTTTGTCCAACATGGGGGGAAAAAAAAAAAATCCCACGAGAACAAATTGGAGGAACTGCTACGCTCCAAAACACTCCTTCATAATTCATCCTCTAAAGCTAAAATGAATCTAAAAGTACATAGCATGTCAAAATTTTGAGGGACAGGAAGAGGACCAAAGCCAAAAAAACCCCCCCAACACCTCAACACCCCCACCCACCCCAGGCCTGTCTGCAATATTCATTGCAAGACATCATAGCAAACAGTTGCAAGAGACAGTATTGCTGTATAAATGTGACTAATTAGCATGCTACAATCATAACGTTTAAGACTTGTGCAATTACCAGAATAATTTAAATCCTAAACAAATCCATGTTGCTTTTTTCCTATGTCAAAATGCTTTTTTGTAAAGAATTCCATTTTCTTTTAAGTATATGCACACTGACCTGCACTTTCCTTCTCCAAGATCCTGAAGGATCTATATTTCAACGTAGAAGCAATTTAGTGTCTTGGATCTCTGAAGAGTACCAGTGTTAAAACATGCATGTTTATAGTTATCTTAATGAGCATTATGTTAGGAAATTTAAGGCTGTATCTCAGTTTACACAAGAACCAATGATAATTTAAGAGGCTGCATATAAAATTATATAAATAAAAATAGAAACAAAGTCTGTTTAACCTGTACACAGAGAGCAAGTGGATAAGAAAAGGAAATCAGGAATTAAGTAATTCTATAAAGAATGCCATGTATTTTTACTGGGAATACAGGTGACAAGTATATACAACATTTAAATCTCTGATTATCCACGTACAACTAGGAAAAACATTTACAACGGTTTGGGTATTCAACTAAACAATCAGGTAAAAAAATACCGTTAGAAAAACTAAGCCTCACCAATTTCAAAGGAACAAAACCAGAAAGCACTCACTCCTTATTAAAAAAAAAAAAAAAAAAAAAAAAAAAAAAAACAGCTATGCGAGCTTATAAGCCACCCTGTAAATAAAAATTTGAAGTTCTGACAAACATTTCTCAAAATGTAATCAGAACTAAAATTATTGGCACAGAAAGCAAAAAGGGAATGAGGAAAAAACCCAAGACTGTACATTTTCCAAAATGCTATATTCTTCTGAAGTAGTAATTTCAACCTGTTAAAACATATAGTCCAGCAGAAATTTTACTTAAAAAAAACCCCACCCTCTACTTCTGAAAAACAAACCTCCAGTAAAACAACTTCTGTTACTAAAGCACCACCCCTGCTAAGTCACTTGTTGGTTTTGTCTTTCAAAATAAAGGACATGGCCTTAAGATTTTATTTTTAAGATGACTTATAAAATCAATATTTGAAAGAAAAAGTATTTCCTCACAGACTATTCTGTCCTTTCATCAGCAAAAATAGGTGAAATACAACTGGATGAATATCAAAGAACAAAGCAGTAGCCATCATGGCATCATCGCCAGTCAGTAAGTTACCAAACTGCTATTTCCTGAATGTGCACAGGAAATTGCCAGTAATGTCTAATAAACCAAAACCTGGTAAAAATTCTACAAGAGCCAGTTATACATGATGTGCATTAAGCATATTCCTTTTTGGTGTCTATCAGGGTCTTTGGAATTTTTTTAATGTACATTTTTTTGTTTCATTAAAAAATCTAAAAATTAAACTCACAATAACAACAGAGTACTATCTAAATTGTAACAGTACATTTATCAGTTAAAACTAAGTATCCAGAGAACAGGCAGAAATAAGGGGCTTCATATGGGGACCTCATCTCTCAAGTCACAACGATCGCTCAGTTTAACTTACGTTACTTTCCCCCTGCTATTCCCTCCCTGCTATTTCCATTGCCAGCAATGGAAATCTATATGTGAGTGACAAATTACACTGTGTAAAAAGAGCAACAGTCTCCTTAAATCTATTTCAATGTGGAGTAAAATATCAGTTCCTGCATATAACGCTTGTAAATTTACTTTTTTATTTTAAGATTTAATATATCTATGCAATGGAACATTACTTACCTGCTGCCTCTCCAGTATTAGCTATTCCCCATGTAACAGCTACAGGCAGGTTATTTCTTCCTTAAACTTATTATACACAGCAGTGAACAATGGTTTTAAGTAAAGACAAAAATTACAACAGTACTGTTTGTAACCAACACCTATTCACAAAAAAGCAGGAAATGAGTCATGACTTGTTTGATACAACTTTCAGTTTTACAAAATTTGAAAAGGCAGTTTTCATTTTCAAACAGGATTAAACAAACATGTCAAATATCTTCTCAGTAGCAAATAGTTCAATAAACACCAGTGATCCCATGCATGAAGAACTGAGGTACACAATTTAAGGAAAAAAAAAAAAGGGGGGAGAGGGGGGGAGAATCTGAAGATGTATGTAGCCAAGCCCAACAGCATCAACCTGGCTGCAGGAAACCTGGCTGAGTGGTAGGTGAAAGTATTAGAGCATTTCAAACTTATGCAAAACTTTCCCAGTTTTGCACAGACTGGTCCCAACTCAGTAAAGCATAAAACCCACTCATGTATGCAAATAAGGTACTTAAAGCATATGTTTACATTCCTTGAAATCAGTGGAATGTAACACATGCTTTAAATGCTCTGGAAAACCAAATGGATTTAAGTGCTTTCCTGAACAGGGTAACATTTTAGGTTGGCTGTAAAATCTTCAAAATTGGTAAAAAAAGAAATCAACAGTTGTCTAAGAGTTGCCTCTTAAAGCCATCTGAGGTCTTGAAACTTAACTTAAAACATTAAGTGCAACTATTTGAATAAGTAAGAATTCCAAAAATAAACCTGTCACATAACAATTTACAATAGACTAAAAGTGAGCATTTGCGAAAGGCTGCCAAAAACTAAATTTTTGCAGCTTATATGAACTTTCTATTAATTTACATTTCACATAATGAAATTTAGAACAAATTCTTAAATTTCAGGTCAGCTTTCACTATGAGCTCCTATAATTTGTTTTTAGGTAAATTTACAAAACCTCATCTGACAGATTTCATTAGCGCCACTTTTTGCTAAGACATTTGAATATTGCCCATCGCTGAACAAGGACATAAAGTGTACCTTCTCTTTTATATGCACGTGAATAAATCCCGAAATATTAAAAAAATACCAAACCCATAAAGTCTGAGAAATGGAAACATCTGGTTTCTTCTGGCACATTTCTAATATACAACTATGTACAGACTGCTACGGTCTTGGGGATGGGAGAGGGAACACACACAAGCACTATAAAACTGTAAACAACTGCAGGGTTTTGTTTTGTCTTTTAAGCTTAACCTTTCTACCCCTTATTATGGATAGTTTAAATTCATACCAACAATTTAAGTTTACATTAACTGTAGTGTCAACCAGGATCAAGGCTCTACAAGAAAATTTTCAGTGTGCTAAAAAACACGGGCCTGGCACCACCTGTCCTCAAAACTACAGACCACAAAGAGCTGCAGTTTTTACAGTTTTATATGTCAATTAGCAAATTCACAAGCCACCTAGATAAACACTGCTAGAAAGCAAAATAGCATTAAAGGTTTATGTAACCACCTATTTTCATATCAAAATTGAATGTGAAAGAGCAACATTAGTATGTTTAACTCACTGAATGTAAGATTAGGTTGAGGCATATGCAAGAACTATTGCGATGTTTTTAAAGACAGCATCAATGTTTTCATTGTAACATTATCTTTAAATATTGCTGAACACAAGACTTTCCCTGAGGTGTAAACATCAAATAACTTGAACAGCTTTACACATCAGCCCCATTAAACAGTTTATTACAACACTACATCTACTGTAATCAGTGGTGCTGTGTACAGACATTATCATATGAACAGTTTAACATGAACAAACTACTATAAAAACAAGCATTTACTTGACTCTTTCCAATTGCTTGCACATTATAATTGCCAAATGTATATAACCAGTAATAAAGTTGCAAAAGCTATAAGTTTTAAATCACACAGGTTTCCCTCAAATAAAACAGTTAAGCAACATAAAAAAGTAAAAGAGCTACTGGTTACCATGTATGCAGATTTGCTTTATTCAGATCTATTCCTGTTCATTTTATCCATGAATCCTTACAGGCTCAGTTCAATCACATGAAGCAAACTGCTGGACAAGCATCTTTCCTTGAAGAATGTATCTTGTCTTGCATGCTGTTCCTCTTCCTTCAGCTGTAATGTGTCAAAATTTGTGATGTAGATTTTGCTAGTCCCCATAATACACAGAAAATTGTTGGCTTATCTATACATACACAAGTCGTGCATCTACTTCACCATAATGTAAACTATCACAAATACCCAGAAGCAGTAGCTACTTGTGCACGAAAATGTCTTCTAATACAATAGTTAAAAATAAAATTAATCTTATTGTACAACAAAGTTGAAAGAATATAAATTTCACAGATGAAGTATTGAATGATAAAGGAAGAAATAGCTACTGTTCCTGTGACTGATGGAAACAGTTATATAGAACATTTCCTGAAGTACGCACTCTGTAAATGAACAAGCATGTAATTTTGCCACAGCTAGATTTTTACATTTTTACCTGCCCACTTACAGAAGTTTTAAGCTGATTTGACACTTAAGCAATGCACTAATTGTATAATGAAGTGGATGGCTTACAGCTCAGTAATATTTAGAAGTGCACAAAATCAGATACCAGTGCTTCAAAATTTTCAGACTAGTGGCAGGCAGGATGGGTTTCACATCTAAAAATACACGCTCGCAGTTTAATCACAAGAACCCACTTTTCAAATAATACAATATAGACTTGCAGGTTTCCTTGACTACTTGCCCTAGAAAGCGCCCCAAGCCCTACTTCCTACTCTCATCTGTTTTGGCAAATTAAGGAACCACACCAGAGTCAATTACTGTAAGAGTTCACAAAATACTTGGGATGGTATAATTCCATTCACTGGATTTCAGTTGAATTCCATTACAAAACAATTATCTATTTGCATTAATAATTCACAATTCCAACATTCAATAATTTCAAAATAGTTTAAATCAAACTGTTCAAAAAACCAACACATTAAATTGTTCATTTGAAAAACAAGACATTTAGAGGAGCAATTTCATGAACGTGCACCAGTACACAGCTGTCAAATATTTGTCTACTAGTATAATTTCAAAGCAGTTGGGAAAACAAAGTACTCAAAATTTGCATGAACAATTGACACATTTCTTCTTCCTTTCCTCAAAGTGACTTAATTTTAAAAAAAGTGTAACCAAGTAGGCTCTATACACTACAGTATGCACATGAACTAATCCAAACCCAAAGCAGTGACTGGAATTTCTTTTGTTATTCACAGACTTTATACCCAAGTCATGAATGTATTAACCAGTAACTACTTTTGGGGAAGTTCCCTCCCCAGGGACCAGTATTTCCATAGGTATTATGTACTGTTAAAATTAATTAGTAACAAAGTGCAAAGTGCTGTCTCCACAAGAAGTGTTCAGAGTTGCAAGCTAAATTAGCACAAACGGGAGAATCTCAGTTTAGTGAAGAAAGTAAGTATATGACAGCTGTGAGACTGCGTGTCAGAATTTGCTGCTCTTGTCATACAATTGCTATGGCAAGAATTATGGATCTTTATCATTTCTATGGCAACAATTAACAGATCCAAAGCATCATATATATGATTTATAATACTAGCGTAGGAAAGCTTTGGTTCCTGGAAATAATTTGCTAAATTTCTAAGGGTACTTATGGAACTACAGGAACTTTAAAGAACGCACGATGAACTGGATTTATAATTAATACTTTTCATTATAGAGCTCTCAAGATGGTCATCACCACACTGAACCTTCATCTTAAAAATCACAACCAACTAAAATCCAAAGCAGTGTACATTTTGGTTGCAAGTATTCTGCCACTACATCTTGGCAAAATTGGAAGCCTTTGTGGTTCCAAAAGGAAGAAATAAATCTGTATAGATTATACGTTCAATGCTCAGCCCTTTTCAGTATTCTACAAGGAAGTAGAATATTGAAGTAAGAAACAACTTTAAAGAGAAAAAATATTCAATCTCTAGTCAGTACTTGGCAATGCTGTTTTCCATCTGCCTCAAGCTCATATAAGCTATCCTTCCCAAGCATGTGTTAGGTTTGTACAATTAAACACCATACAGCAATCAGTTTCTCAGCATTTCTATGAATAAAACCCAAATTTCAGACTTCTCTATTAAATAGTTATTTTGTGGTTTAAAAGTTAAGGGTTTATGCCAGACCATTTCACAAATGACATCCCAGAACTTAAGTGATCAAACATTTTCGTATGTATGCAAGATGCAGCTTGAGCATTTTTTTTCCCCACAAAGACAGACTTACAACAAAACCCAATAGATTTCTTATATAAAGCATCTTGCAGTAGCAACTGATTCTTCCCTTTAATTCCAGTTATCCAAATAAGCATATAAAAAGCTTTAAACAGCTTTTAAAAGTGTGAAAATCCTACAGTACTTTAAAGCTGTATGTGCAAACACATCATGTTTTGTTATAGTAATTTCTGAAATTATCAATCTCCCATGTTCACATTTCAGTAAAATGCATGATACACATGTCATTATATCCTAATAGCTCCTAAGAATTACTTCATGTAATTCCCCTTTATTGTATTCTATACATAAAAGAATAAATATACAAAGCAAAAATCCCACAGAAAGTATCAGCTTGAAAGCCCAAATTTGTTTTAACTTAGCCTACATTGCAGAACATCAAACCTCCAAATACTGTGATGCTTTATCTATAACACAGTGAGAAAGAACGAATTTCAAGCTTGACTCTCCCTGTCTTTCTGCATGTAAGCTAAGATACATATGTGATTCTGTTCATGTGTACAGACTATTTTACCACCACTAGCACCTTCTTCCACTTGTTGCATATTCCCCCCCCTCGCCCCCCATTAGAGTACTTACCTGGTATCTTTGTTTAATCTTAGTGTATAATTTAAGATCAACACCAGAACAATTCCCTGATTTTATACATAAGTTTACATGGGAAGAAAAAGAATGCTCCCAAACTGGTTTCACTCATCATAGGTCTTTCTTCTACTATCCCAGCCTGTCTATTCACCAAAAATAACTGATGAACAGAGGTGTGTTCAGAAAACTCAATCTCTAGTTTACAAATTAAAGAGATGTGAATTACTGGCAAGTATCTTTCACATTAATATATGAGGAAGACACAAAAAAGTAGATCAGGCTGCCACAGGAGAACATAAAAATGAAGATTTTTTTTTTTTTTTTGTAAAAAGAAATCTTAGTTCTCAAACCACAATGAGCAAAAGGAAAAAAATAAATTTGTTCGTTCTTTGGAGAACACTGCTTCAAACCAACATTTTCACTTGCAAGTAACTTCTCTATGTTTCAAATGCTATAAAGTTAAAGTTTCTTGGGGAATGTTCACATAGCTCAAATTTGTCAGAACTACTGACTTCAAACACCAAAGAAAAAAGCAGAGGATGTGGGGAACAAAAACGTAAGCGTGTCTGAAGACACCTCAGAAGACAACAAAATTACAGCATCATGCTCATGGAAAGAAGTTAATAAAAGTTATGCAGTAATGCATTTGAAAATGAACAACAGAACAAGATTTTCAGTTTATTTTTCTTGAAGGTGGTAATATGATTCAAAAATGAGAGAAATCACTGGACATTAAAAAACAAACTATATCTTTCTGTAAAGCACTAGAGTAGCCATAAAATAAACTTTAACCAGCACTAAGAACAGTGGCAGTGCTTGACTCTCTCAGTTCATGGTGGATTTCAAATACTGAATCAGATACACAAAGCATTCTTTCTCTGATCAATGCGAGATGCAGTAGAATAGTGCCAGCCCCACATATGTGCTTCCTCAAAACCACGCATTTTTAAAAGGAGAAATTAACTAAATGACACTTGTAATACCTGTAATACTAAGAGGGTCTAAAATAATCCTAGACAGGTACTCATACCCAGGTCTTGAACAATGCTACCATACAATCACTTAGAATTCCATTATTAACTAGAAGCTTATTACTAAAATAATTACCAAAATTATTTACTAAAATTAATTACTAAAATAATTACCAAAATAGGCATGTTCCTATTAATTCACAAGGTTTCTAAAAAGGCTAATTTCATATTTCTCTTGATGTTTACGTGATTGTTAATATACTGTTAAAGGACAACTCCTACTTATACAAGCAAAAATATAATGAATTACTTAAACTATCAGTACTGATTTTCTTTCCTGACACCAAAAAAATTTCAGCCGTGTTAGTTCTTAGATCACTCCAAAGCTGAAACTCTCAGAGACCTGAGAGCAGTTTTTGAAGAAGCATAAGCCTCAGGCTTTAAGTTACTTTGCTTACAGTGGTTTGAGAGCAGAAAAATCAGAGAAAAAACATGAAATATGGAGTACAAAGTCTACATACATATCAACTGTTACAATGTTATGGTTTTGTCTTTGCAATTCAGTCCAAATCCAGTTTAAATAGGAAATATTCAATCAACCCAATAACAAAAACATAAAATGAAAAATTTAACATTCAGCAGTTAGATATTCAGACAGATTAAGATTGGGACAATGTATCAGCTAGAAATACATCATTGAGTATCAGTTAACTAAAAATATCTGTCTAAAAATGTCAGGACTCATGCTGATGAAGTCATATTACTGTTCTGTTTGTACACGTTAATTTTGCTGGTAATCCTTCTAAGTATCATTCTACTGGATTCTTAGTTTTCTCGAGTAATACTGGTTAGACATTTGTCTTAAATCCATTGTTCTCTTTTATATCTAACAGGCTTTCTACAAACAAAGGCAAGATGTTTCAAGGAAACATTCAGTTTATAGTAACTCTGAAATGGATTATCAACATACATGAGGCCTTACACAAGTGAAGACACAAAGATCTTGCAAGAATTTAATTTTAAATAATGAAGTGTACAAACAGAAGTGTAAATACCTGCTATGGTACATCTAAGCTTTTAATAAAGTTTTATTATTATAAACACATTTAGTAAATTATTCCAATTTAAGCCATCTCTATAAATGTAATACAGTACAAACTGAATTTCACTGTATACAAAAATGTTCACAATGGACCTTTAAACTTCTAAACTAGATGTGTAACACTTTAAAAAAAGCCAGTACAGTATCACAGTTATGACTACAGGTACACAGTAAGTATAGGTGCCATTCATAGGTGCAGGCACAGAGGCAATTTCATGTTATCTGGCAAAACACAGTAATATGGGGAGTAGCTCTTTTCAGCACTGCTGATATATATATATATATTATATATTTAAGTGACTGAGACTGTTAAATCCGTTTATGAATATTAATCAATGTAAAGAACAAAACAAAAAATGTATGGCAACATACATCTTAGTGAAAATGAAACATACAAACCAGGAGGTAACTGTATTTCTTTTATATATGTGTGTGTATAAGTATATAAAAACAAAACTACAATAAAGGCCTTCTTCATTAAGACAGCAACAAGACAAAATGTTTACAACTTAACTTTAAAAAAATTATCAAATGCTTGCATATATGTTAATACTGAATTCGCCCTTTAAATCAAGTTCTCAGCACCTACTTCCTTCTTTTCACAAGGGAATCTTACCTACACAACCCCTCTGAAAGAAAACAGAAGTGCCAGCACACAAAGTTGAAGGATGTTGCACATGTAAATCCCACCTGAACTGAGACTGAAACCGCAGTCTTGTTTTAAAACTGTGCTTTGGAAGTTATAAAATGCAACCTAATGCTATTTGGTATGTTTTCTTGGGGTAACGAGGTAGGGAATCTGTACATGGCACAGAAACTCTGTATCTACATGCGCAAGACTAAATACACAAAAATTAAAACTAGATTAATAAAGTATGCCAAGGGTAAGAAAAAAAAAAAAAAAAATCTTAATTTCCAGGTTATTAACAGGTCTTAGTATGGCTTGCTCATCTCCACCAGAAGGAAAACACTCTAGAAATGCATCCACCACTCAGCTCTAGGTTTACCTCCTCCTCTTAATAACAACTATTTGTAAATATCACGAATACTCATTTATCATAAAAGGTAAAAATCCAGTTCAACAAAAGAAACTACATATATTTATCTTAAATCTGTACTTTTATGTTCTGATGTTTTACAATTAAGAACCACAGTTGCTATCATTATGCAATTCCAGAAATATTTCTATCAGTCCTTTTTTTATTACAAAAAGTGGCATTAACAGATATATGCTGCCAACTTTATTTCAGCTGTCAAGTTTCACCTTCCTGTTTAAGCCTTTGACACCCCTTCTCTAGATCAGTTACTGCTTTATGTGTCCCCTGTTAGTATATGCACCCAAGACAACCCACTTAATACTAGACTAGAGCATTTAGTAGCAGAATTTGTTCTCTCTCCAAGTCAGTGAACACAAAAGCCTGACTGAAAAACCTGACATTTAACCAATACAGAATTATATTTTCACTTAGGAGTATACCCCACTTAATATGATTTCTAAAAAATTTTGGTCTATTTAACTTCTGTACATGCATTTCCATGAATAAATACTACATGCAATTCTGGAAACTAAATCTGGAGGGTAAATGTAGGAAGTGAAAGTTGGGCAGACAGGCAAGTCTGTAAGCTTTAATTTTAGTGTAGATGTAATGGGAATTTGTTCTAAAAAGGGAAAAAACCACTGCAGAGAAACTAAAGGGTAAGGTTTTTTTCCAACTGTCAGAGATAAGGTATCATAGGTAGCTTGAATTCCCAATCCTCAAAATGGTACACTGTGTAATGTGAGGAACATTTCAATGTATTTTAAAGCCCTCAGCAGTATACTGAAAAAAAGCATTATTTAGCACACTACTCTTGTAGTAGCTATCTAGACAATTGATGCATGAGAGACTAATGAGATATGGAATAAAAGAACACATTAGTTTGTGAACAACCAGAACAGAAACAATCCTTAAGTTATACATTTGTTTACTAGTCTTTAGAAAATTACTTTACTATCTGAGGGGGGGAGGAAATGAAAAAATCAGGGTGATGGGGAGCAACCGATCATAAGAAGGTAATACCCAAATTTAGCTAGAAGGCAGAAGATACTGACAGGTCACATTTCATAAAATAAAGAGCAAAGTCTAGCTATAACTCCTGAATTTGAGTAAAACTCAATGGAAAAAAGAAACAACACACCCAAACAACACACCCATACTTGTGCAAGGACAGCAACTGTATACATGTGTTCCCTAACCTGAAATAATCCACACATGTCATATGAAGGGCTAAATGCTGCAGTCCTTACACAAGTAGATCTCAAAATAAAAAGTTAGTATTTTAAAATACAACCATAAATTATGTATTATCTTCTAAGGTTACAAGGAGAGCAGACTTATTCTGGCTTACTGCTTTTTTAAGAATTGGTTTAATTGCATTTTGTAAAAACTGCAAACATTAATACCACCTAAAATTAAAAAGGCAGCGTGCAAACTGCAGAAGATAATCACACAAATACTCCCTCCCTCCCAAGACCAGTTACCTGTTGTTACTTACCTATGGTCATGTCAGATGCTGCAAGAAGAAAATGATTCAGTACATACCTCAGGACCATTTAAATGCAGACATTAATGGTGTAAACAATCCCAAACCTAGAGTAGTTACTTTTAGTATTCAGTAAACAGTAAAGTTCAAGAACATAAAACAAATGCTCACCTTCTTTAACGATGACGATACTCTCTCTCTCTGTCTCGTTCTCTGTCGCGATCTCTGTCACGATCACGATGCCTCTCTCTTTCACGGCTTCTTTCCCGATAATAGTCATCATGACGATCTCTACTACGTGACTTGTGGCGCCTGCTTTTTTCTCGTGACCTACTGTGGTCCCTCTCTCTGGATCGCTCACGTCTTCTAAAAGAAATTACTTCATTAAATTTTTCTTCAAAATACCTGCCATGCACATGCCAATTTTGTATTGTTTGCGAGTACGAATTTGATTAAAAAAGGATGAGAAAAGTATCTGTTTGCTGTGATGCAGATATGTTTTTGTATATAACATGTAAGAGAGCCACGACCTTTTATACCAGCTAAGAACTCAGTTACTGGTAGTAAGGTGCACCCACTTTCTAATCTATCAAGGAAAAGCACATGCTCAGAATGGAGGATGAGATGGCTAAAATCAGCTGGGAGAATACACCATACCTTAAACAATTCATACAACATGGCTGCTATCTCCACACTGACTACACTACTTCCACTGTATACAAAAGGACTAGAGGCTCAGCATTTGTCCTGACACTAAAAGTTTTGAAAGCAATACCAATCTCTTATTTGTACTAGTAGAAGAGTGCATGAATTTCAAATCTACCTACTCTTAAGATTGTAGGCAAAACCATTCTGATCAACTTTTTTTTCCCTCCAACTCAAGCATATTTCTGCTGTGGTAAGTGTGAAGAAAATTACTTTTAAGCAAAATGAAAATTGGCAAATATCTTCAATCTTAATTTTCAATAGCAAATTTCAATAAAAAATATGCACCTAACTGATAAAGGATTAATTCTATTTTGAGGTTTACAAATTGCAAGAGTACCACATAGGAAAGGATTCTAAATAAAATTAAGAGTTAAATTTAAGCTAGTCAGATCAATATTGAAAAGAAGGTTAATTAAAAGGCAGCTAAATTCAGGAAATACCTATTTGGTTCTTTCACACCTTTCTTGTGCAACACAGCAAATCACTAAGCTTATTAGAGGACAGTTTCTTCTCTGTGAACTAGTCCTGCACTACACCTTCCCTTTTGTAAGTAAGGGCAGATGGAAGAGGAAAGTTTTACCTGGATCCAGAACCATAAGACTTGGACTCAATTCCGTGAAGGCAGTCCTGAAGAGAGCTAATAAGTACTTTACAGCGATCATCTGCAGACACTTTGGATTGTTTAATTAAGGAAATTGCTGTTACCAAGGTCTCTATAGCACTTCCATAGTCCCCTGAAAAAAATTTAAGATTATGATCAGAAAATTACGCAAATTAAAAAGATTATCTGTAATAGTATTACCATTTTGAGTTATCTTCACTCCAACAGCCATTCAGAACATTTACAGTAGAATCAAACATTAAAATACTGTCCAGCTCAGTACTCAGAAGGTGCTTAGGGCACAGAACAAAATAAGTCATAGGTTGGCACCTAAACTCAGCCTCCTATTAGGAAAACGTGGCTTTGGGGCTGCAAGTTTCCCAACAGAAATAACTATAAACTCTTTTCGGTTGGGTAGAATAGCAAGCACATTAATCAAATTTTACTAACCAGCACTGGCATCTGATACAGCTCTTGAAATGGCACTGCTTGAGATCGCCCTATTTCTATTCATGATTTCTTCAAATTCTGCTTCACTTAGAGGTGTCCTTGCAGCATCCATTTCTCTGCAAGCAATAAAACTAGTATTTAAAAGGTTAAGAAAAGCTTCAGAAGATATCATTGCAGTTTTAACAATCCAAGTTCGCAACTTTAAGCAAAGTGACAAACAGAAAAGAAAGCAGGATCTGGGTTTGGTTTTTGTTTTTGTTAAGGACCATGTTACAGTATAAAATCCTGAAAGCTAAAGAAAAAAAAACCAAAAAAGGTAAAAACCAATTAAGACATTGCTGTATAAACAGTCTTATTCTTGTTCATCCCATCTATTTTGGAAGATTCAGCAGCACTTAATATTGTGCTTTACAAATATTTATAATTTCTGTAAAGCCCTCGAAAGTATGTAAGTAGATATCCCAATTGAATGGATGTGGAAATACATGTACATAGACAATGCAACTTTTAGCAAAATTAGAGATCATTTTTACAACAATACTGGAATTAGAACTATATGATCCTGTTTCCCAGATCTTAACTAAGACCAGAATGCTGTAATTATGAAAAGCAAGTATAGTCTATCATCTTTAAAACACTCAATTTTCTGAATGATACTTCAACATTTTACAGCTAATTTTGTTTTTTTTTTTTATTTCTGGTCAAGTTCAAGTTGTTCCAATTTGATCTCCAAACCAGTCACGGTAAGGAGGAAGCAATAAAGCAGAATCCTTGTACTCATTACACTTTTTTTACTTGAATTATTAGCTACCTATACAGAGTTTCAAAAGTAAGAGACGTTAACCTACACAAAAATTTTCCCAGAAGTTTTGCAGTGTCCTATTAGCCAGTCTCTGTATCATACAGATAATTTGGAGAAATGTGTTAGAGACAAATGTTGAGACTTAAACTGGCCCACTGCTTGATATTTCTAGAACAGTGTTAGTTGTTCTGGTAGAAAGAAAATGCAGAATAATAAGCAATGCTATCCTCTTAATTGCAAGAAGTGGAACAAGATCCTATAGCCAGTTTAGCATAAGAGGAAATGTCTAAAAATTCATACCTCCCTGAGTTTTGAGTATTATTTTTCGTGTGCCTCCCATAGAATGGAATATGTAATTTTTCTCTTATGGACATGTTATTTCCAGTGAAACGCCTATGATATATAATTAATGACAATTTAAATAGTTATGGATGATAATTTTAACATTATTAATGAAAATACTGGACAGTAAGCTATACTGTCCTATTCCCACTCCTTCCCTCCCCAGACATTCTATGAACTGCAGACAACCTCGATTTCTGTCCATTAAAAACCACAAACACCTTATCATTTTATTATATTTCAGGCAATTAAGCCAAATGCTTGAATTTATATAGTTTCTGTATGAAGACAGTATGTACAGATGCGTGGGGTTTTTTTAAAAAAAATTGTGATAAAAGAATCAAAGTGTCTTTGCAGAAAACATTTTCAGCAAGTGTCTTTCATACCAGCAGTAAAATAAAGGATGAAAAATCCAAATGTAACTATGTAAAAAGTGTCTTTCTTACAATTTATCCCCAAATTTTCTGTGATGAATACAAATATGGTGAAAATCAAGAAACAGCAGCAAGACAAAGAGATGCTTGAAAGCACAGATGAAAAAGATGTTTCAAACAAGACGTGAAGGACTTGAAAAGTCAAGTCAGAGAGACTCAAAAACTCTGTTCTGGATAGGATTAACCATAGGAAAAGCCACTGCTACAAAACACAGCAAGATTACACCAAATGAGCAGGATCATCTTGACAGGAAAGGCAGATTTTGCAAAGTCTTGCAGTAAATGCACACCTGGCTTTTGAGACAAAGACTAACTTTGAATTGAATCCTGAAGGAAAAAAAGGACAAGCAGAGCTGCCTGACAATGAAAATGGTATGAGCTTGGTATGGCACTGTACTCAACATACCCACATATTCAAAAAGGAGAACTCCAGAGCATTCTAAAAAGACAGCTTGCAAAGCACAATGATAAAGGTACTAGTCAAAATTTCAAGTTAAGACAGAAGCACAACCAGAAGCTGCTGCATAAGAAGTGATATATAAGTTTGCATGTAGAACACATGGAATGATGACACTGCCAAATACAAACAGTGAGGACAAACAGTTCAGAGCTGAGAAGGGAAAAGGAGATTACTGGTGTTGCATTCCAGGATTTTCTTATTGCTACAAACATCTTTGAGATTATTTCACTGAGAGAAGTGAAAAGGGGCAAATCAGAAGACTGTTGGGATCCCTTCCACCCCTATTTTTCATTATTTCTAACATTTGCATTAAAAAGGAAAATCAGATGCTCCCTACAAGAGAGGTAAAATCTGCTACCAAGCACATTACACAAAAAACCACTCACCTTCCAGGTGGCCCATAGTCACCTCTGTCATATGGTGGAGGTCGGCCATATGGGTCTGTTGGAGGTGGGCCACGGCTGTCTGAAGTAGGTATGCCACTATTGGCAGGTGGGGGGAAGAAAGCTGGATTCACATGTGGTGCAGGTGGTGGAGCACCTGGAGGTGGCCCAGGGAGATGTGGAGGAGGAGCAAGAGTCAGGGGTGGCCCAAGTGGGCCAGGTGGACGAGGGGGAAATGGACCCGGAGGTGGAGGTGGACCCTGCTGAGGTGGTGGTGGACCTGGTGGTGGCCCGTAGCCTGGAACTGGTGGTGGAGGGCCTGGAGGAAGAGGCCCAAGTGGAGGCTGACCAAAAGGCTGTCCTGGGAACAGAACTGGTGGTGGTGGACGGTCACCACGATTAGGAGGTCCAGCTAATGGAGGTGGAAGGACCTGACCAGGAGGTGGAGGGCCTGGTGGGCCTGGTGGGCCAGGAGGACCTAAAGGTGGACGTGGGGGAGTTTGTCCAGCTAAAAGAAAAAGATAAAATAAAGTTAATAAATATAAAGAAATAAAAGACTTAGCAAAATAATTTAAATTTTTGCCTTTTTAAATATTCTTAAAAACAACAAAAAATTCTCACTGAACAATTTGCAGCTTACACAAGACATGCATGGTCTCACTTTGGGTCCAACAGCTTGGAAGATTTTTAACAGCTGCTTGACTATCAATACCTAGATAATAACATTAACTTGAAAACTGACAAACCACCCCCCAATCACTTAATCACCTGCTATTGTTACCAAAACACTCAAAAACTTACAAAAATCTAGAAAACATTGCATCCTGCTTGCACCTGCGGCTAGTCTTTCATATGAGGCATAAGATATATTATTTATTAAAAATACAGGAAAAGCTTTATTGGAGAAGGCAAATGAAGTATCCAAACCTACTTTCAGGTCCTCGTTAGTGTTTGTTTGGGTTTTTTTTCATTTTGACCATGCCCCTTTGACTGTTAGGAGACAATCTACTAGTGAATTACATTTAATAAAATACTTAAGCTGAAATAAGAACTTCACTGCAACACAAGCCTGATTGTTTAACAAAGATTTCTCTCATATGAGATACCTGACTAAACATGAACGCCTTCAAATCGGTGGTATTCTAAGTGCCAACTAACTGATCTGTCAGTGAGCATGAATTAAAGCTGAACTTCTGATGATGTGCAAACTTGTAATGCAGTAAGAAACAGTTACTTTACGCTCTCACCGCGTAATACTGGTGACACCGAGAATACACAGGCATTCTCACACCATACAGCAAATCAGAAAGTCTGAACTATGCTGCACTAAAGACAAGTCCACCAAATAACGTGATCTATCTTAAATTTTTCATACTTTAAATATATGTACATTGACATAAAGAATGTCTCTAAAAAATTTTGTTATACTGCTATGAAATTTAGAAAGTACAACTCCCTAATTTTTTATATATATATATATATATATCAAGACAATGTTGTTGAATCCTATAATCCATCTGTGAACACTGATTACAGCATGTTATTGAATTGCCTTGATCTTTGTATTTCCCCAGTAAGTATGCTGCATTAATACAAGAAAATACAAATTAAACTGAAATTCCATGTATTAATAATTTTACCTGGGAAAGGTGGTGGTGGCCCTCCTGGCCCTGCTGGTCCAGGGAATCTGTCTCCACCTGGAATGGCACCTGGAAAACGACCTCGCCCTCTGTTACTAGGTGGAAATGCTGCTCGTGAGCTCCCTCCTGGGGGACCAGCTTTACCTTCCCCAGACATCTGGCCAGACTGTGTGGCTGCAACGGAAAAGCAAAAGCGTCATCACATAAATCAAAATAGGTTAAAGCTTTTCAACTCTTGATGCAGCACTAAAGCATGACCCTGTGAGTACCAATTTGTTCCCCAGTACCCAAACCCAAAGCTATTTGGGAAAGAAAAAGTGCTTTACTAAAATATGGCAGTGTTCCAGTATCCCCATACTAACAGAATAGGATTTTGGGAGACTTCCTTCAATGCAGTCCACAAAGGAACACATTTTCATGTTAGGACTGGGAAGCACAAGACACAGTGTTGAAAGAAAGCACAACACAGAATCTCCCTTCCCCATTTTATCCTAAGTACAACTTATCCAAACATCAGAATTTAGTCCAATTTCTCTACAAATGTTCAATTTCTAAATGCTGTTGTGCTTAAATAAAAAATTAAATCCACAAGAAAATGAAACTGTAAGACGTTTCACAAAGCTACAAGCTTCTCTCAGCGAGTGTTTTCTCTTGCCAAAACAACATATCTTCAGTGTTTTAAGTGATTTTAAAAAATTTTTATTTTTAAGACGACCATCTTTAAACAAAGCTGCAACTTCATTCACCTTCCTGGAAGTACTTTATAGCTATTTTAAACTATGTAGAAATTATCAGACATGGAGAGAAAAGCTGCAGTACTACTTTTGGGATAAGCTTCTATTTTTCCAAGACAGTACATGAGAAAGTCTTACTTTTCCTTGACTGCATTTCAAACTGACTCAGAAATTGTTTATTACATGGAGTCACAACAGGATTTTGCCCATGCAATTCTCTTTTAGGCAATAAATCCATCAACTTTTTGGAGGATGCTTCTGATCCCACACCCACAAGGGCAAATCTGAAAAAGAAAGAAGAAAAAAGTTACACCACAGTTTTTCCATTTCCTGGATATCTTGGATGCCTCCTAAAAAAGATAACACAGTAACTAAAAGAATACTTAAAAACTAAATACAGAAACTGTCTCACAGGTCTTAGTGCAGTTTTCAGAACGGATAACTCATTCTAGGACATATGTGCCAGTACAAAATGCATCAAAATATTTCAAAGCAAAGGCAGCTTTTTGGTACAGTATCAATACACTACACATGAATGCTTATGATCAAAATGTTATTAACCATTCAGTGTGTTCTCATTACTACTAAGGAGAGAGAAAGGCACATTCATGCAAGGAAGATTAGGTTGCCAGTGAAAAATGGCCTCAAGTGCTCATGTTGAACAGTTAATGGAAAACAAAGCATGTAAAGAAAGATTTAATAATGGAGGTTGGGGGGACCTTGACACTGAGGAACAACAAATACCACCACCACACTAAATGAAATCTAGGAGCAGCCTTAATGAAGATAACCAACAAGGCTTAACTTGCAAAATAACGACACACACAAACCCATCATAAAAAAATTATGCCCAAAGTCATTAGGATGAAATTATATAGCAAATCATTGCTGGATATCAATAAACAAAGATTATCAGTTCACATACTGACAGTTATGAAAACTAAGAACTCTTTCTCCACTCCCACCCTTCCAAACTTCAGTTCATTTACAGAAAACACAAATGACAGTTCTTACCCTTTAGACTGGCCATTAGCACGGTTTTCAAAAAATTTTATCTCCAAAATATCATTTACCCCCAGTGAATGAACTGCTTCAGTTAAGTCTTCATCTGTTGTCCACTGAAAAATATTTTTAATATTAAACTATGAATGCTTATCTAAAACACCATGAAAAGGGCAACTAAGTTTTCCATGGGGTTTTTGTTTTGGTTGGTTTTTTGTGGTTCTTTTTTTGTGTGTGAAATTGGTCAAGATGAACACTTTATTCAGGCTGTCAATATTTTCCGACCTTTGGAGCACTGCCATTTATATTTTACAATTCTCAGAAAATTAACTTTCAAAATGTACACACTTCCTCATATGCTACATTGTATCAACTCCTCCACACAGTATTCCAGCTACAGTATGCCAAAAAAATATTTGTATTTGAGTAACTTTTGTTTCCGAGTACAAGGCTTCAACTATTTCAGTAACTGTTACTTTTTCCACACAAGATTATTTTTTTCCTCCCACTGATTCTATTGTTTTCACACAAAAGTCAATTTTAAAAGCCATATCAACTCTGAGAGCTTTGACTAATGAGAGTTTAATCAGCTACGCATTATCTGTACAAAAATAGCAGTATTTACAGACAAAAGAAGGGAAACTAGTACAGAAATCATGGTTAGAAACAACTGCTTCCACCTAACCAAACTGACTTGCTATAACTTCCGATTAATTACTATGTAATGTTTAACAATTTCACTTATGCCTGAAGATGCAAAAATACAACAATGCTTATGGTTCTCCTACTTCTGTAACTCCATCACCTCTTTAAATTTCATAGGGTAAATGCAAACCAGGCTTTCAAGATTCTGAACTACTTATCTGATCTCTCTCAAAGCAAAGCTTCTTTTAAAAAGTCAACAAATTACTTTTCTGAGAGGTAAACACAAAGAAAACAAACAATAACAATGCTAAAGTAAACCAATGCACTTTTTGTGGATAACTTCATTTATGAAGCCAAATAATGAAGAATAGGTACAAAACACTACACATTAGGCCACCAGAAATTGTGACATTTGACTTGAATAAGTTCAGTTAATTCATGTACATTCTATTCCATTCATGTATTTTAGAAGGGTAAAACAGTTAACTTCTCCTTTACTTACCTACTTACCTACTCCTGAAATTAGGATACTGTAAGAAGTAATGAAAAAACACCTAAGCATCCATTATGCATTCTTTTCCAAGTTTAGCACTAGCAAGAAATTCATCAGATGGAGGAAAAAACCTTGAATGAAAATTTTTCATGCATGGACTTGGAAGAATTTTATTTCATATAAATAGATATAAACTCTAGATAATTTAGTTACCAACCAGCTATGGCACTTTGTTTGCTTAACTGCAATCAATTTTAAAATGCTTTAATTCTAACAAAAGTAATTGTCTTAAGGGTAACTGTAGTTCAGTGAGTTATCCCAAATCTGTTACTGCTAGGATAGCAGAAATAAGCCTGAAGGTAAATACATGAAAACAGTTTTGTTGCAAGTCACTGCCCTGGAAAAAGGAAAGCTGGAAAAGGGCCTGGAAAAAGGTAATAAGTCATTTCAAAAAAATCCCAGAGAACTTTTCAGTTCCTTTTTAAACTAAAAACTTCAGCAAGGGTTTACTAAAAAGTATGTTTGTTCAATAGCCTTAAAGTATCTGCAGGCATAGAGTATTCGCTAGTTTAAACTTGTTCTCCTCTTTCATTCAGTTCTCTAAAAACCTTAAAAAGATGGCAGCACAAATATCCCTTCATAACACTTAAAAACAAAAGAGGAAACTTTAAAGTTCATATTTACTGAAGATTTGCCCGATTTTTCAGACATCAAGAGAGCTCCAGACAGGCTTACTATATTTCAGATAAAAGAAAAAAAATTAACAAAAACCCCACTTGCTCAGCTGTACTCTTAATGTGTCATATAAAACAATTTTTAAGCCAAAAAATATTTACAAATAATTGTGTTAATTCTAAAATTCCTCTCTACACCTGAACAGTATTAGGATACTTACCCAAGTAAGATTTCCAATGTACAAGGCAATTCTTTTTCCAGTATATGTATAGACAACATTTGGTGCAGCTCCTTTACCTACATCATCCCCAACAGACGGTGGAAGAGAATCCATGTAATCACGATCTTCTGGGGCATCTCCATTATTCGCAGATGGAGAAATTACATCATCATATAAATCAATCTGATCATGTCCACCATATTCAGCTTCCTAAAATACAAAAGACACCTTGATAATATTTAACATTAAACACTCTTAAAACTTGAAACAAAATGCTGGGATAGCTGCCACGTTCCACAGACACAGTATGTCTGATTCAACACCTACACAACATCCCTGCTGAAAAGCCAACTCACAGTTTCATCCACATTAAAGTATATAAAATGCTTATGACTTCTATTAGATTCTAAACTGTCAAGGAAAAATAAAATCCATAATACCTCTGGCCACTGTTTTGCAATGCTTTTGCCCTTGTAATATTAACAGAAATCCAAAAATCCCACAAGCCCTACTCTCAGAATTAAGAGACATTAGCAACATGCAAAATGAGACTCTAACATTAATTCTCAAGGAAATCTTTTTTTCCATTAAAACATTTGGTAGAGTGAACAGACCAAGCTTCAAGAGCTCTGTTGAGAAATGCAGCATTCTACCTTTCAGATTTCTACTGAATTCCTAATTTGATTTTTAGCTTCACATTCACAGAGGGGCCAGACGGACAGAATTCTGTTTTGTTTCATTAAATTTAATAAACCCAAGGGTTCATATTCATTAAACATTTATTTATTCATGGGCTACAGAGGGACTATTCTACAGCATCAAGGCTGCTTCTGGAACATTTTGGTTCAGAAAAGCATCGTGGGGTTTTGGAGTGAATCACTCCCTTCTCTCTTGGGTTGGTACAGGTTACAGCACAGTTCTGGCCAAGTAAACTAGATTCCTTTCAGAGGAAATGGAAACAAGAGTTTCCTTCCAGAAGCTCAGCTTCATGTGCTCAACAACTGTATCCTACCAACTAAATGGGAACACATGGGTCAAGATCAATTAGTGGTCCTTCAGCCAGCTTTGAATCGTAAATGTGGTAGGAATATTTGGCCCAAAAGACCAGACTAAATTTAGTCTGAAGTAGACCATGCAAACAGTGTGTTAGGTAGCCAGAGGGTCCTGAGCACCAACTGCCTCAATCTGGTGATGTGCTATCACCAAGCCATATTACTTTTTATTATAGATAGTTGTACTATCTCCAAAGACAGACAATTAAAAGAAGGATAAAAAATGCTGACTGTAAATTATAATAATCTCCCTCACAAAAACACATATAAGTCTTTTTTTAAAACACAGTGGGATCACTTAATCAGTGAGATTGCTTAATTCCAAATATGAAGCTGGGTGTTATATATTTGTGCTAAGGAACTATTAAAAAAAATACTACTTCTGATAGCTGCTATTTTTCATCTTATATACCACCACTTACCATATTCAATGGTGATCAACTCCACAACGGGATGTTGCTGTCCTTTTTTACTATCCTAGCAATCACTTGCAATCAAACAGCCCAATCTGTGTGAGAGGTGCCATCTAAATGTCTGACAGGAAGGCAGTATCTTCTCAAGCGAATAACAGTGGTCCAACAAAAAGCTTAGGAAGGCCAAGCAGTGCTTAATGTTAACCTTCAGCTCTTATACTGACTTTCACAGGTTGCTTTGACACATGCTAAAGCTGGACTTCAAAAGCCTACATACAGAGTATTCCTGGAATCTTCCACCCTGATCCAGAACAGAAACAACCTCACCAGATTTTTATATCAGCAATATTTCAGGGTCTACTATCTTGTGAATCTGTATGTAGAAACCCACACTGACATCCTACATAGAATAGTTCAAGGTACCAGATACAGTGACTAGAGGGAGTCAAGTTGGATTCCACAGAAAAGAGGCTGCAAAGCGAGGAATCTTGATAGAAAACCCAATATATCCACAACCACCATCAGATGCTTTGCTGACTTGAAAATACAAAAATATTCATTATCAAATGCTATCCATACAGTGAGGGTATCACTAAAATAAAAAGCCAAAACAGATAAATTAAGTTTTGGCATTGCCAATCAAGAAGATTTGGTCCTCAGTAAACTGCACTGTCCCAATACACTCTAAAACTTCAACAGAAAATTTCTTAAGTTTATCATCATTAAATTAAGTGAAGGTTTCATATTTTCACCTAGTCTGTCCAGTTCTCTGCCTCAGTTTGATTCCTCCTGTCACTGTAGCTAACGAAAGTATATTCAAAGAACTGCTTGGGACAGGCCTAAACATGACATCTTACAGCAAGATTAAGGATGATGTCACAAGGCAATTAAGAAAATCCTCTGCTAAATGTGCAGTAATTCTAGTCATCTGTGTGTATGGATGATGACTTCAGGGAAGTAGAATTCAGTCTTGATAGACAGATCCAAACAGGCAGTCACCAGTCTTAGAGCAGGTGTACACCAACAACCTATCTCTCAGAGAAGGCTGAGGTCAGCATTGCCAAAATACTAGAGCAGGCAGCAGTCCACAGCTCTACTGCACTTCCCTAGTGGCAAGAAACTCCTCTGAAACACATCAGTTTTTATCACATGTGCTTTCAGGTCACCATCAAAGGAGAGAGAGAATTATCAGGGCAGCACAGCCTGCATGTCATCTGGGGGTGGACTAAAGTGCCTGACAGCGTTGGTGCCTTAATTTAAATCAGTAAAGACCCAACAGAAGACCTGATGATGTTCACCATAGTCTCTTCTTACATTGTGCTGATTTTGCAGCCAGCACAGAATTCATTCAGTTACCAGTCTGTCAGCAAGGTGTGTGGCAAGATGATTAAGAATAATATGAGTCAGCAACAAGTGTAGACGGAAGAGATTTCTTGATGGCTGTTGCACAAGATTCAACAACCCTTCCCCCTTCATAGGTGTACCATGGAAACTTACCTAAACATGCCCTTATTTCCTAGATGCACGAAAGCAAGAAAAAGAATACAGGAAGTTTTACTTCTCTAGTCTTAGCTATTTCAACAAATTCTCTGCCTGTACGAGGAATATTTTTTGACCTCTTCCAATTTCCTCAGTTAAGAGAAGACCATCAACCACGAAGAGAAATTATTTCTGCTCAATTATAGTAATTCACAATATTACAGATAAACATGATAAGAAACAAAGTCAGCACTGTTATTCTGGCACCCTCTACAACCGATTCATGAGTAGCAATATATTTCCAAAGCCTCTGTTTTAACTAGACCACAGTCTGAAATACTGTATCATCTGCTCTGGAAAATTAGGACTGAAATTCCACATTTTGTGCTATTACATTGGACTGGGTGAACAAAATGGGTATGAAGACATATGGTCTCAAAAATTAATACCAAATGAGCTGTTACACTTCTAGTTACTCAGTCCTTTCCCAGTATTTTTTATTTTAATTACTGCTTGCAGTGGTTTGCAACATTTGAATAAGAAAGCTATAAACATCACAGTCATGTCCAGAAGGGACAAACTAAAAATGTTATTTCTTTTTGGAACTTAGCAGCCATACCTCTGAGTTGCAGAGAACTGGTCATCCCCTTTACAAGTGCTGCTTTGGAAAGTATTTAAAAAAAAAAAAAATTCTTTAAACTGTACCTACAGCTGAGACTTGCTTTTTCCACTCAACTCTGTTCAATTTAAGAGTTAAACACTAAATTACCCCTCCAAAAAAAGACATTAAAGAAGAAATTGGTGATATAAATAAAAATTTTTAAAGTTTGCTAGTTTCTGAAAAACATTAGAAAAAAAAATTATCCAGCTTCTCCCTTCTCACTTTTTTTATTCAACTTACAGTATATGTGGTCAAGAATACACATTAGCATCCTCACTTGAAAAAGTTTGCAGGTCCTTAAGAATAACAAGTTAAAGACATAAGCAAAAATCTTGATTAGCTGCCTGAACACAGACAGGAGCCTTAACAAAACAGCCGGCCTTTGATGTTTCTAAAATAGCACACTGCCTGTGGCAGTAACATCCACCAAGGTGGACAAGTTTGTTAGACTGAGATGCATGTTTACTCTACAAGCCCAACCTCTCTCAGCTCTACAACTGGCACACCACTAAAATTTAAGCAATCTGATCCCTTGTCAAATAGAATAACTAAAAATTTACAAGTAGTCAAAAGTATAAATTAAATGAAGGTAGTATTGCTGTCTGCATTAGAACAGAGATAAGGCACCGTATGAGATAGTCTTGAGTCTTCTTTATAGTTCGGTATTTTCAAATATACAAAGGTTGTATCTCTTCACCAGGTCCCTTCCGACAGATCAACAGAACTGATGAAATACATATGCAATGAGGTATTGCGCATACATTTCGTAATAAATGCAGGTCTGCCAGTTTATATTTTTCACGACCAGGACAGTGCTGCTCTTCTGAGTAGAAATTTATTATACCACAATCTGTCTGTTCCCTCCCATAATGAGACAACTGTCCTCCTGATATAAAGGCTGGTTTTAATAACCTGTTTTATGCAGCCATTAAAGGCTAGCTTTTATTATTTATTACACAAAAAAAAATATTTTTCTCTCTTGTGTTATAGACAAGAAGTCAAGAGAGTAAACTAACACGTTCCTAGGAATCTGTAGCCACAGAGGTTTCCAGATAATTAGCTGCTTAGCTGCTTACTCTATCTAAATCACTTTTATTATCCAGTTACAAAATACAAAGTCAAAACTCTTTCATTTCTAATTTGTTAGCATTTAAATATCAAACTAGAACACTACAGGCATGTTTAGACATATCCACAATACAACTATACAAGTATACTCAGAGTATAAACAAAGCAAGCACTTTTCCCACAGCATTAAAATAAGAGATCCTTAAATTGTTTTGCATCCTCTGCTTGGTCATAAGGATTTTTGTATGTATACTATGTATAGTATGCATAATAAAAGCAGTTTTTAATGCTTAATTATGCACGTGTGTATGTGAAAATAAACTGGGAAGAGCTGATCAGAGCATCAGAGAACTCGACATTCATGGTCACATAGATCTTCATGACTGCAGGGAAGTAACCCAGTTTGCTGGTCAAAGTTGCAGGCAACCTTGAGTCAGATCCAAGCTGGCCTCATGCATAGGCTCCTCATTATCTCAGTATCAAGCACTAATACTCTAGGTTTTTGTGCACAAACCCACATCCTAATATTTGCTAAAG